TTGATTTTTCTTGCACGCATTTGTAAATAAAGAGAATTTGGATGAAACAAAATATTGAGATCGCTTTAAAACACTTGTAAAAATAGGCTGAAACTATCTTTATCTTCCCCGACAGTCAGTAAATAGTAAAAAACACGTAAATTGTGTCTATTAATTTTTACTTAATGAGCATGTGTAGCCTATTTTTGCTTCACTGCCTTTTACTATACCTTTTACTGTATATTTACTAAAGTCAGAGAAAATAGGATACATTTTTACAAAACTTAATATATATTGATGCCTTACAAAGACTCCTTACTAATCACCAAAAAATTAGATAAAATATAGCAATAGGAGTCAGGCGCAGTAATTGTTGCGTAAAACAAACAATGTGGATAACACAAAACTTTATTAGAAAACCCGCTAGCAGATTATCTAATAAAATTTTGTCGTATCCACATTGTTTGTTTTGCGCAACAATTACCGCGTCTAACTCCTATTGCCCTATTTTATCTAATTTACAAAGCTTAAAACAATTTCAATATTTTGTTTCATCTAAATTCTTTTTATACATGGCAAGAAAAATTAATATATCGGATAATTTCTCGCTTATGACGTCACGATTCAATATGGCTGAGTTACGTACTCAGGAGCCTTAAATTTATTTTATTTTAGAAAAACATTTTGAAAAAGCATTGATTACTAATACTTTCACAGTGTTACCTTGACAACCATTTGAAACAATTATGGTCGCCGACTAGCCATGACTAGCCTACAATGAGTGTTTGACAACTCTTCGACAATTTGATATAAAGATAGATTGTACGCAATTACAATGCGAGTTATAATACGCTGCATATAAATATAAAATGCAAACTGAAACCTCTATTTTACCAGTAGTACAACTTAATGTGCACAGAACAATCACTAGGTAAATCAAACTTTGATCATATAAATTATGACGTAATATTAGATGAAGATATAAGAAATGTTATAAGGTTTAGTACATGTATTTTAATATTTTTAACTAAGAACTTAATATCTTATCTGTTAAATATGATGTACATTAAATATATATATAAATTATAGAAAAGCAAAACCTTCAAAAAACTCTGCAACACTGGAATCCAAAAAGTTGTCTCCTTGTAGAAATACGTTATTTCCATCGAGTAAAAAATGCTTAAATCCCTTGCTCGGTTTGTATAAAGATTATTAAAATGCCTGCTTGTTTATGATCTTATCACATATATATTATTTAAAAAATTTTTAATATATATTGAATATATTCAAATAGGTGCGCCATATAGAGATACTATGAAACAACAATCGCTGTCAGATGAATCAAAGTCCGGTAATAAAAGTATTTTTGGGCAAAGAGTAATGTCAGCGAAAATGCTTCGTTTTAAACAGTTACAAAATCAATTAGCTGATGCACATTATCATCTCAATGTAAGTATAGAAAAGATGTTGACGTATATACTTAATACTAAAGATATTTTTTTTTTTACATAAAACTAATTTCCTTATGTTTTTTAAGGAACTAGCAAATGAAAACAGATTATTAAAAGCATTACAAAAAAGACAAGATTCTGCATTAAGGCGTTATGAAGGAGCAAATGCTGAGTTACCAAAGCTTATAAATTCGCATCACGAAGAATTGCGAGTACTTCGAACAAAATATAAAAAATTAAAAGAATTACACAAGGATACATGTAATTTGCTGAAAGAAAGAGAAAATGAACTTTATTCTGCGAATGTGAGTTTTTCAATTAATGCATTCCTGTATATTATATTTTTATTTTTAATATGCATTCATATAAATTTCCGAACATTTTCCTTTATAGTCACAAAATAAGCATTTATTGCAACTTAGTAAAGATCGAAATCTCGAAGAGAGAGAAAAATTACAATTACAATTAACCGACATGAATTATAAAATGCGACAGCAACAAGAAACTATTCAGGTAACTTTCAACATTTTTTTTCAAAAGTTACATTTACATGAGAATAGCAGAAATAAAATAGATTATATTGCAAAACTGCAGCTTTAGCTGAAATATCTTTTTGCAGCTATTACACAGGAAACTTACCCTTGAGACTAAGAGTTTGAAACATCAATTACACATCGAGATTTCTAAACATAAAGAAACACAAAAGAACTTACAAGAGACAATAGAGAAATTGAAAAATTTAGAATGTTTATTAGACAATAGAGAAAAGAGATTATATTCTAATGGTCAATTACCAATTTATAACAAAGAAAAAAATCTAGGTAGTCATTCTCTCACAAATTTCAGGTATAAAAATTATATGTATGCATCTTTTCTCATAATGTAAAAAATATTTATATGGAGACTCTGTATTTTAGTATCTCTAATCCAATTAAATCGTCTAACAGAAGTAAAAGGAGTGAAAATGGGCCAAAGGATAATTTGGTGAGTTTGTTATTTATATGCGATTAAGCATAATTAAGCATTAAGAAAGATTCTATAAATTTAATATAATTGCAGCCATCACTTGACATATTGGAATCCAATGATGATGAAAAAGTAACTCAGCCAAATAATGTTAATCACAATCAATCGGTAAATCAGTTAAAGTCAGAAACAATGGCAAGTTTGCAACAGATACGAAAGTTTCGTTTACAAAGATCACACATGCGTAAAAATGCTCATTCTATGGATGACTTAAGATTTAAGTCAAAGGATTCTGAAATGAGTGCGCATGATGATGAAAAAGTCATATCGATAGATTATAAATCAATATTGAAGAGAGATGAATTAAATAATGATCAAGGTGAAAGTGGCAAATTAAGAAAATTATTTAGTAGAATAAAAAATCAGAATACACAAAAATTACAAAAAGAACTAAGGGCTGAATTTGATTATTCATCTGATGATGGAGAAAGTGGAAACGCTTGTGAATACAATCAGTCTTACGATACTCCACAAACATCTAGAGAGTTGTATGTAAGGTATGCATATTACAAGACTATATTTTTCATGAGAAATCATGTAAAGCAACATTATATAATTAAATCTTTTTATGTAGTAGTATATTTATTTTCTGTGTCTATTAATATAACGATCTCCTGATTTTTTACTCTTATGTCTGTTATAGACTGATTAATAGTACAGATGATACCTCTGATACTTTGGACGATATAATGAAAAAGGTAGACAGTAATGAGGAGGAAGAAGAAGAGTTAAGCACACGTCTAAAGGAAAATTTAACATTTCAAAAGCACAAGAGTGAAACAAAATTATTACATTATAGAAAAAATGATTTTTATGATAGCGGTTCTGAAGATGACGTTGATTCCGAAGGAAAGATAAATATAAATGGAGATTCTCCCATTGAATATAAAAGCAATGATTTTCAAACCAGTTTATCTAAGTTCGCTAAAGAGTTCAGTAAATCTTTTAATGGTGTCACTCATTTAGAACATAATACTTTGGACATCACAAAACAGTCTGTTGGGAGATTAAAGGATGCACAGTTACCAAGAATATCTAATAATACTTCGGATGATGTAAGCTTAGAAAATGCAGAAGTTCCTCAACAATCTTCAAACTTAAAAAGGACATGGCTGGACAAAGAACAATTGTTGGACAGTAACGGAATAGATGACTCTTCCACAGATATGAAAAAAGAAGATTGTATAAAAAAAGAAGAAATAAAATATTTGGAAGAAAAGCCAGTATATGCTGACATGTCATGTGATAAGGTTTATCATGATATAGACAATGCAATATATGAAGAAATGAAAAATTTGCCGACATTGGAAAAGAAGAAGGTTGAAAAGGACTCACAGGAAGCTTATAGAAAGGAATCTACGATAAATCATTTGGATGGGAGCATTTGGCCTGTGCATAATTTGGAAAAAGAATATTTTAAGCTTAAAGACGAAACATGCAGTGTAATGCGCCACAGTGATGAAGAAACATCAGATAAACCTGGTGCCAACATAGAAACGCAAAATAAATTAAACGCTACATTAAATGTTGATGTATCTCAGACTGAGCAGAGTAATGGTGCAAAGAGCGAGATAGCACAGTTAAAACAAACAAATGAAAAGAAAAGAACAATTAATTACAACAAAGAGAAGCTGTTGGCCACAATGAAAGCCATCGATGACAACGATAATATCGAATTCCTGAGCCAAGGATTCAAGGATCATAATGTGAATAGAATGCAGATAATGGAGAATCTACATCGCGGCTTACCAGCGCATTCAAAACCGAAACGCGATATTATTAGAGATATATTTGAGGATAATCCTATAGAAAGTAAAGTCAGAGGCACTTGTAGCAAATCTCACTGAAACGATCACATCAAAGATCATAATAAATAGCGCGAAATTTATATTATATTTTTGTCTTGCCTCCCTTAATTCTACTGCCCTTTACGTGCAAACTTTGCCAAAAAATGAAATATTTAAAGAAAAAATATGTTATATTTTTTCCTGTTGTACTACAGTTTTTATCTTAATTGCTTGAGGGTATTATTAAAAATATTAGGTATATTTTCCCAAAAATAAATAACAAAAAGGAGCAAAATGTATAATATTTTTAAAAACTCAATTATAAAAAACACTAAAATAAAAAAAATGTTAAATAAGTTTTTAACTTTTTAATCACATTACCAGCCAAAGAAGCTCTGCTTGGTTTTATTCAGAGAGAACACACGCCGATTGTGATTACTACCTTAAATCGCCTCCGCAGCAATTATTTTAGTTTAAATCACAGTCTCTTTTGCAAGAATTTAATTGAGTACCCTAGCTGCACATGTAGTCATCAATGTCAGGACCTTCTCCACGTTATTTTTAACTCTCCTGATTCTAAGATTCAAGCTCGTCACATTGGAACTAACCAATCGCATTTGTTGTTCAAAAGAATTGACTAATCACAGTTGATCGACCGATTAGGTTAATCGGAGTTGGTGAGATCCCAATTCGGAGTTTTCGTTCCTACGATAGTCACCTGTCACAGTTTTGCTGCGAGCTGCGACCTCTACATGGACAAGGTATGGTCGTATTGTCTTCGATTTTCAACAGGAGGCAGTTCTGACAACTCTGACAGAACTATTTAAGCAATTAAGCAGGAAAAAGATTATCAATTGTCAACATGTCACGAACAGGAACGAAACTCGATGCAAAGAAAGTGGCAAGTGTTGCGCTATTTTGTATGAAATATTTATTAAGTGATATCGGTTCGCCGTTAATAATCTGCTTAAAAAACCAATTCTTATTCATTTCGAATACAAGATTAGTATCAAATGGAGCCTTGAGGTTATGGTGTGTCATGTGTTCTTTTTCATATATAGGCTATATTTCATATTTTAGGCTATTGTCGGATCTACAATGAGTCTGTAGTCGGAAGTTTTAGACTTAATCGGTGAAGTTGGCCAATAGCCAACTTGTACGACTAACGCTAATTGGCCAACTTCACCGATTAAGTCTAAGACTTCCGATTACAGACTCATTGTAGACCTGGTATATAGGATGTATCTTAACATTATAACTACCAAACAATCAAAATTATAGATTTGTAATTTTTTATCAAAATTACTCAAATTTATAACGATATCTTTTTTGTAATTTACTGCAATATATAAAGGATTAAATTGATTTATTTTTTTTGTTACAGAACTCTGAACTGTTCACCCTAACTTACGGTTCAATTGTGGCTCAGTTGCTCCAGGACTATGAAAACATGGAGGATGTTAACAAGCAATTGGAAAGAATGGGTTATAACATTGGAATACGACTGATAGAGGATTTTCTTGCAAGGACTGGCTCTGGTCGATGCTATGATTTCAGGGATACGGCAGAGAAGATTCAGAGTGGCTTTAAGATATTCCTAGGCATAACGCCATCGATTACGAATTGGAGCCCGGCCGGTGACGAATTCTCTCTGTGCTTCGAAACAAATCCACTAACGGAATTCGTAGAATTACCAGATAATTATTCGAATCTTAAGTACTGTAATATATTGCCTGGCGTACTCAGAGGAGCCTGTGAAATGGTACAAATGGAAATCGCCTGCTGGTTTATTCAGGATCAGCTTAAAAACGACAATTTGACCGAACTGCGGGTGAAATTTGTTAAAAGGTTAGAAGATGCAATACCAGCGGGCGAAGATTGAATGTATCCATTATCTAAATATGTGCAAACGATATCTGTGATATCGTATATATCGTTCTAATCATTAAAATATATTGTATCTTTAAGTTTAAGATATGTTGTAACAATTATTTCTATCAATGTAGATTAACTTTAATCTTGATTTCACTCACATTTTATTTTTTTGTAATCCTTATTCTAGTGAAAATTCTCAGAATTTTTATAGAAATTTCTAGATTTTATAATCTTTTAATAAATTTCTCAGAATATATAAATTGTAAACACTTTTCAAAATGCTGAAAAAGTATCTTTTTTTTTTAGAATTTTTCATATATGTAAATTCTGAAATATTCTAAGATTTCTCCTTTTACAACTTTTAATAAAATCTTATCAAATCTGAAAATTTTTAAGTACTTCAGAAATTACAGAATGAAATCATAAGAATATTTCAAAATTTTCTTAGAACTTATATTTTATATGATAAATTCTAAGAAGAGATACAGATTTTCTCAGTATTTCTGAAAAATATTCGAGTTTGTATAAAAGTTATGAGAAAAAAACAGGATAAAACTAGAAAAAATTTTTAAACAAGTTGAATTGAATGAAAGTTAATCTATATTGGTAAAAATGGACATGAGGCGTGTATTTTCACCGCTTGCATTCTGTAAACTTTCAATTAAAGAAAATAAATATATAGTGGATTTTTTTTCTTTTCACATTGATGTCAGCAGAGATACTAAAATTGTATATCAAATTATTTCCTATCCTATTAAGATAAAATTATATTTCTTTTTTATGTATAACTATAATATTTTTTATCGTTCTATGTGAAATATATAAGAAAATTTTCCTTCTAAATGATAAATGACATAGTTTTTCTTGCAAACAGTCCATAGTCCATAATGCGTCCAATATTAGATACATATAGCTGTGTCTAGGATATATAGGTTAGTTTAGCTTAGGTTATGTTTCTATTGCAACTTAAATATAAGTTCATAGGCTGTGATTTAGATGTTTTCCGCGATTTTGTATTTCTTTCTTTTTTACTTTAATTGTATATGAAGTGTAATTTCGAGAATCATACGTTCTGATCATAATATATATTATAAAAAAAACTGTTATAAAAGAATAATTACATATAGCGGAATTATTAACACACTCTATGAACTTTGGTAAGTAACTATCAGTTTTTTTATAGCTTTTATCATTTTATTATTTTATTTTTATCTGACATTTTATGACATTCTCATCAATCACTTTCAATGAAATCGATAATAATAATAATTCTTCAGATATTCTTCGTATCGCTGTCTTTGTATAATGGAAGTAAGATGCAAGCATTGTTGTAAATCGCTTTTCAAAGGTAATTCTATTTTGTTTAATGCACATCATGAGGTAAAACCAAAGCAACAAATGAATGTAGGATGTCAAGCAGATGAATCTGATTGCTGCTCATACATGACTCCTGAGAATGCACCAAATTGGATTATGGATGCTATCAATCAAGTATATACTTCTTTATCAAGATTTTAAAAATACATGTATATATAAATTAAGATAATTATTTTGTTAAGGAATATTGGACCAAGGGAAGATTATATTGTCCGTACTGCAACAATCGCTTAGGATCTTTCAACTTTGTGAATGAGCTCAAATGTTACTGCAATAAATATGTAAAGCCACCCATAAGGATAGTTACCTCTAAAGTAGACATATTATATGAAAGTTAAAAATAATAACCAGACAGAACTTTCTTTCTATGTATTTTCTGTTTCGTATGTACATATTATAATATATATTTGTAAGAACTATCATCATAAATAACACTTGTGAAATCGTGGAAAATATATTTTTGCAGAAATCTTTTTTTTTTTATATTATATAAAGTAAATCATATAATAACTTATTTTGATTAATATATAAATTAATTTTTTACTATGTTTGTGTGATGAATAATGACAATCTATTACATATAGTCACATATAAACTTCTATCTTAACTTTTACTTAGATCTTTTTATCTTTTTTATTTAATTCATATTTACATTTAGTTACAGCTTTTCCAACTTATGTATATTGTG